ATTACCCGATCCCTAGTTGCTCCAAGATCTTGAAAGGTCAAATTAATTTTCATTTTACATAATACTATGCAAAACCTACGTCACAAATAGCAATATTCTCACTACTAGAGAAATACCCCTATTGACACACTTGTATTAAGACACAATATTTTCTATGTCCTAATAAATATGTATTTGGGACACTTTTATATTGTTACATTTTGTTGAAATTTTGTTGATACACTTGAACAAATATGTCATAATAGAACACTATATTGAGACACTTGTAAAATTAAGCTTTTATGTCTTTGATCTTAAATTTTGAAAAATAAAAAATAATGTTAAGCTATAATATGCGATAGACAGATGATAATATTTATTTAATTATATTTTTATTCATACATGCACAAAATGGGTAATATCTTCAAATAAGTTTCTCTTGCTTAAAGTAATTCAGGTATTTTTTTTGGTCAAATTCACTAATTTAAATCTTTCATAATTAAATTTGTAGAATCTAAAAACATTTTAGTTTGGCAAATGATAAATATCAATGAGCAATTTGAAGATAAATTTTGGATGGAAATTGTTGGAGGGATTTCTTTTGGCCAAAAATTCGGAGGAAGAAAGACTTGCGCGGCAACAACTTTAGAAAAAAGCGGAAAATAACTTTTGTGCGGACTTTTGCAGTTTTTTTTTCTTTCATTTATTTAAAAAGATTTTATATAAATTTTAAAGTTTGACTTTGATTGTACTAAAAGCTAAAATCAACAAGGAAATTATAAATTATAGTGCCGTGAAGACGGCAACAAAATATAATGCCGCATAGCTGAAGCAAATTCGCAGCATTTTTTTCAAAATGACGCAATTGAGTCCCAAATTTGCAGCAAAAATCAAATTACGTCGCAAAGTAATGACATTTTATTCTAGTGTCGCAAATATGTGACGCAAAATTGTGTCACAAAAAATTGATGTCGTATATAAGACGCAAAATTGTGGCACATTATAAAGTACCACAATTATGCCACAAATATACAGCACAATGGCAAGTTCGCCTCAAATTTACGGCACTACTCTGCGGCACCACCTGTAAAAGTGTCGCCAAAGGCCATTTTTCTTGTAGTGAATGTTAAATATAAAAGCATGAGAGTACAAACTTTCTTCACATTCATATGTTACATTTTGTTAGTAACTTACCAACATCATATGAATAAGAAAGTACAAAACGCCCACTATTTCCTTCAATATAACAACTAAGAAATTACCTCTTTCACCAAGCTCATTTAATTTGAACTTAGAAAAATGATTTTTTCTTAGTATCTACTGCACATTTTTAAAATTAACATGTGCATTGAGTATAAATATTTATACAAAAGCAAATATCTATTACATACTCTTCACAAACTTTTGACATATGCAATTTACAATATATATACACCATGTGAGAGTAACTTAGATCAATCACCATGCAATTGTATAAAATCAAATCAAGACTTAACTAATACACACATCTTTTTATTACTTCACAGCACAAGTATTATGAAGTTCCATATACACATTTTCAGATAAATCACCACTAGGAGAATGATTTCCATATTTAACAGGTGAACATGAAAAACTTAAATGGAAACTTTTAACTAGTAGGATAAAATATGCAAGTCAAACTAATCAAAGCAATCATGACACTTCAAGTCCATCATGCTATCAATAGCATATTACTAATGGAATAACCATTTACAATGTACTAGTCTAGAACCTTTCAAGTTAAATCAATTTGGACACATACATCATTAGACAATGTCCAGTTCATTGCATGATTAACTTTCCTTTCCAAAATGCATCAGCCTAAAACTCAAAAAACTCATTGGTTTTAACATACTCGTTTACTTAGTAAAGTATTTCTTTTTGCTCTCACTAGAAAGTCAGTAGCCTTAGAGGAGACAACTTTCAAGAGAACTTTTATAAGTTTTAGACTTTGCTTAAAACAGAAAGTCAACATCTTTCTCTTTCGTTCACTCATAGAACCCTTTTCACTTTGGAAACTAAGAGGTTCATTAAATGGTACATTAGCTACTTGGTTTAGAAACTTTTAAAATAAATTTTTAAATGAATCTACATCCATTGAATTGATTATATTAATACATTATAATCAGTGATAAGTAGCTTAGATACTTTAGTGTTCATCTAACCACACACTTAAGTGTTCTTGGTCCCAACTAGGAACACAACAATATGCAGTGTCACTTTAAACTTTTTATATTAGATAATACAATTTCCTTCCATTCCACATTTCACATGGAGACACTTAGTCTTTAAGGAGTTTCATTGTACACATGACAAGTATTTAATAATGTGTATTCCACAAACCTTTTGGCTACTTAAACTCACTAGCATAGCATTGTCATGACACATAGAGTTTTTATAGTTTTAGCCAAACTATTGGTTGTTTATTAAATACTTGTTCATTTCACCTATTAGAGTAATTTTAGACTAGGGATTTACATGCAAAACGTATCAAATATTTTATCCACTATTTTTACTAGATAAACCTGCACATAAATATGAGCAAATATCTATAAAAGTGACAAAATATTTCTTACATTTCTTAGTTTAAAATTATTGAGTTCACATACAATAAAGTGTTGTACCAGCAATAACTTTCAACTTTTATTTGAAAGTAAAATCTTGCAACCATGAATTATGCATATGTTTCACATTTTTATTATTAAGGCATTTGACACTAATTAATTTATATCTTATACAAATATATAATACCTTAGCAGCCACAAATAATAAAAATCTCCAAGCATAACACTATATAAATGCATTGATATTGAACAAAACAATGCAAAAGTAAGCGCTATCGATTCAAAGAGTTTCACTGCAAAAATAATGCTTGGCTATCAACTAAGGTCACAACCTTAACGTGTCATTTGGATGACTAAACATGAATTTCACTCGTGTCTTTTCACGTTGAACCAATGGACATATTGTTTCAAATATGTCTTCCACTTGGAACTAGTAGACACGTCCTTTTATTTGTATTTTCTCACTTAGAATCAATAGATACAAGTTTAATTTGTATCATTTCAATGAACTCACAAGACAAAAACACTTAACATGTCTATGTTCATCCAAAGATCAAGAAATCACAACTTTTCATAAAAGTTGTCGATTTCGTTTCACCATAACCATACTTTTGCATAGCTATGAGAAACTTTTACATGCATAAAATATTTGATTCCATACATAGCATCAAATTTTCAGAACCAAAAATTATTCCAAAAATTATTGGAATATAGTTATGTTTTTCTGTCGTCAACTTTCATGTCGACTCTATCAGATCAATGACCAAGTCAACAAAACATAATGGTAAACTATTCTTATAAACGTCGACTTTTCTGTCCACTTTACCAAGATCGGCGACAAATTCGACATACCCAAACATGAATATGACTACATTTCAATAGGTGTAGGCTCAAATTACCCAACGATAAGGTTGACGGACATTACCATAATATGTTTTCACATGCAATCAAATTACAGTTGTTATAATTATAGATTTTCAACACAATTGATCTTACTAGTTTGAATAATAAATATTCACAACTCTTCATATAAAGGCCAATTTCAACACAATTATAACAATATGTCTTTCACATTTCTCAAAACTAAAGAATTTAAGAAAAATAAATTCATCACGTTTTTTGTTCTTGTCAACAAAATTCACTTTAAGATCATTAATAAATAATCATTATAAGATCTTAAATACCAATTAATTCAGATAATTTTCACAGCACTATATTTGGTTCAAGCAAAATTAAAACACATATCTACAAACTTTTAAATTATCATGATAGATTAGTTTATTATGAATTTTGTAATTTCAAAGAAAATATATAACACAATGTTAATGTATATAAATTTGAGACTTATCTGCGGTTTACTCGCTTGAGTATTCTCCATATCTTTCTAGATTTGTCTTCAGAACTTGAGTACGGAATTAAACCGTAGAGAAAACATTTTGGGCGCACCTAAAAATCTCTATGTTGTAAGATCCATCTTCATTGCTTTCCACAGTCTTTGATCTTTGCCTCCTTATATATATACACCAAAATCATGGCTAAAATATTGTTTTAAGATTGAAAGTATATTGGGGGTAGTAACCAAAGAGACAACAAAAAGACACCAAAGGATAAAAATGAATTATGATGAACTTTATAGATAGATTCTTGAATCTAACAATAATGGGAATCACAAAGATTTGGATATGTTCTAAGCGTGTAATCACTGTCTTTAAGACAATATTTGCCTCCAATATTTTGTAAAACTGGGTTTGATTGGCAATTTGTCTCTAGGATACGAAGAAGTACAAGAACAAGTAACTTTGCAATTATTCCTTGTTCTTTAAGAATCTAGGAATGCAAAAAGACTTATCAAAAACCTGCAGTTGTTCACCTATTTATAAGCAAACACTAGAAATTGAAAGAATACGAAACAAGGTCTATAGCATTTGAGTTCCAAGTCACCAACGTAACCTTTTATGAATACTTGTCATGTTCCGTACTCTTTTAATTCCTTGACACCCTTTGGTTCCAGGAAGATTGAACCAAGTCTAGGTTGCAACTTTTCAATTTTTGGTTTTATTTCACAAACTAAAACCCAACATGAGATTTTTAAAATCGTTTTTATTAATTGGTACTTAGAAGGAAGGAGTTTCGAATTCTAAGGAATATTATATATTTTATTTTTATTCTATTAGAAGGTTTATGGGTAAATAAATTATAAAACTATATAAAAAAAGGAAAATGATATTTTTAGTGAATGAAAATAGTGAAAAAAAAGGAGTTTTTTTTTTTTTAAATACTACTAATATAAAAGGTCAACGTGAACATTACCGCGTATGAAGAAGACTACCCAATTCGGGTCAAACAAAATCGTTATAAATTCCAAGATAAAGGGTATATCTGTCCATATAAACATCCAATGACGTGTTATTTTACCTTTCTCTCCAAGTCTCCGATTAAGATTTGTCCCGATTATTCTAGCAGTTTCAGTGAGATTACCAAACAACCCCCGAACGAAAATATCAACCATTAATTTGAGAAAAACCGCTATAAATAGCATCAACCGTTTGCCTCTATCCGTCCATCGTCGTTTACTTCGTGAAGAGTACAAAGGCAGAGTTTACAAATCTTTTTCAATCGATCTTCTTCTTTCTTGGAAATACGGAAAAGCGAAAAATCGAGCATTGAAATGGAAGGGTTTTCTTCGTTCTTCGATTCACAATCGGCGGCAAGAAACGGTTGGACTTATGAATCTCTCAAGAATTTCAGGCAGATCTCTCCGGTCGTTCAGAATCATCTCAAGCAGGTTCGATAATTATCTACTCTATTTTCTCTTTTGTTTTTGCTTTGTTTTAGGATTACTTTCTGTTACGTTAATCGGTGTTACTTTCCGTGGAGACGGAAACGTTTTACCGAGATTCTCTTTTGCTGAATCTATGTTGTTGTTTGACTATTTGGCAAGTTTTAGCCAGGCTTTTGGATTTATTCTTTGTAAATTGGGGACATGTTGAAATAACGAAGATGTTGAAATTTGTTATGTTTGCTTCCATCATCGTTCTCTGGCGGTGATGGATTTTAATTTGGCCCATTTGTTTTTCTTAGGGTTTCATTATTTTCTTAACTATGACGGTCCGTAAAGTTGTTTTGTGTAATTATCGTGGATGTGTTCGGCTTATGTAATTGATGACAGTTAAAGCTTAGGTGAATTGGATAATTCTGTTTTCGTATCTCTTTTATACTCTTATTACATGCTCAATTGCTCCTATGAAAGAGAATTTCTTGAGAAGTCGTCAATTAGAAGAAGATAATGGAAAATGCATTCTGATGGAGTTGTGTCCTAAAAATAAGAACTTATATAAGTATACACACATTTTGAATGATGCTTATATGTGTATGTACAAGCCCATTTTTTCACATTGGAACTTGCTATGTTGTCTTGTTTTGGGGCTTCAACTGGTCTAATTCGAACATAGATTTATAACTGTGGTCATTGCATAATCTTAGAGATTCGGTTGTTTTATGTCGATGGGTTGATAGGTGCTTATATATCAGTCTTGTTTTGATTAATTCTTTTGGTAATTTTTGTTGCTTAGTTGTTAGGTTCTGTTTTTTTGTGGCATGTCATAGAACGGGGAATGTGAAATATTATCATTAACTAGTGTAAGTTTTCAATATGGAGCTGTTGGGTTTATTTTCTTACCACGTACTTGCTCCGTGTTGCAGGTGTATCTGACACTCTGCTGTGCACTGGTGGCTTTGGGTGTTGGTTCTTATCTTCACATACTGTGGAACATTGGTGGTTTTCTTACCACTCTGGGATCCATTGGATCCATAGTATGGTTACTGTCTACTCCTCCATATGAAGAGGTAATAGATTGCTGTTTCAACCTCTGATTCCTGTATTTGAGTTTAGTACAAGTCAACGCATCTTGGTGTTTGGTACTGAATTTTGCTTGTTTCCTATGGGCAGAAGAAGAGGGTTTTGCTGTTGATGGCATCTGCAGCCCTCCAAGGAGCTTCAATTGGTCCTCTCATTGAACTTGCAATCAACTTTGATCCTAGGTATGGATTTTGGACTGATATTGTATGTTCAGTTTTGTTTGTCCAGTTATGAAGTTGGATTGCTAGATGGGGAGTCAGGATGACACAGGCTTTTAGTGTACAGCTTACGATGCATTTGAACACTTGCAACAATTTAGATGAGAATTGTTGTGTTGTGTGCTTCATAGCCTCTGCCAAGGGTGGGGTGATTTTGCTGAGTTGAAAATTTGTGGATTTTATGTGTACAGTTTCTGAATGTTTCTGTGGTGTCGTAGCTGTCATAGCTGCTATAATCACATGTCTGTCTGTAGAGCTTATATACTTGCTTTTTTTATATTTGTTGGTTGCTTCAAGTTCGGTAGTTCTTATGCATGCTAATGTCTGATACGCTCCAATATGCGCATGGCTTGAGGTTTAGAAAATATTTATTGGTTAAGAGAGTTACGTGATTCACATGCATGTTTGTTCATCTCTATTGCAGCCTTCTGGTTGGTGCTTTTGTTGGTTGTGCCGTGGCTTTTGGGTGTTTCTCAGCAGCAGCGATGTTGGCAAGACGCAGAGAATACTTGTATCTGGCGGGCCTGCTTTCTTCTGGTGTTTCCATTCTTTTCTGGCTGCACTTTGCCTCTTCCATTTTTGGAGGATCTTTGGCCCTGTTTAAGTTTGAGGTATTTGTTGGTGACAGTATCAGTATTTGGTTATATACCATTTTCCAAATCCGGTCATAACATTTTGTGTTGCTTTTTGCAGCTATATTTTGGCCTGTTGGTATTTGTTGGTTACATTGTCGTTGATACCCAAGATATAATTGAGAAGGCTCATTATGGCGATCTTGACTATGTGAAGCATTCTCTTACACTTTTCACAGATTTTGTTGCTGTCTTTGTTAGAATTCTCATTATAATGGTACTCTTCTCCCTTCCCTCAACACCTTTCTCTTGCACACTGAATACAGCTATTACTTGGCTGATAAAATTTGCTATCTCTTCCCTTCTTTTTTTCCTTTTTTTTTTTTTTATTACGTTGGTACATGACTGCTTGTGTGTGTTGTGCAGTTGAAGAACGCACAAGAGAAGGAAGAGAAGAAGAAGAAGAGGAGGGACTGAACTGAACACTCGTGATACCAAAGAGAAGAAGAGACGAAAAAACATAACATGGAGGATACTGTTAACTGCTTATGTCTGTGATAATAAGCTCGAAGCTTTTTCTCTTTAGACTTTGTTTGTTAGTGTGTAGTAAGTAGCAGTAACTAGTGCTGATGTTAATATTCGGCGTTCCAACTTTGGTGAACAATGAAATTGTGTAAATGTTGCGAATGCTCTTGGAGATATTGACGTCCTGTCCTTCTGATCTCGTTCAACTTTCTTTCCTAAGTTGTTTACTAGTTGTGCATGGTCCAATTTTGGACGTCGAGTAAAATTAAATTTTGGCATCAATCATTTAGTCTTTTAAATAGGGCATGTTCGGGTATCAACATGAAGTAGGTGTAGACTTCATCAAATTGAATCGTTACTTCAGTGGCGATCGATAACTGCGATTCTCTGATTCTATCGTACCAACTGCATTTTAGGTAGTATTTGCCCTTTACCTTTGTTAGCTGTTTTGTGGGGGTAGTGATCGTTTTTTACCGTCTACAGTCAGATGAAACAAAAAGCAGTAAAAAATTAAAGATTGGGTAACTTATAGGTAGCTTTGTTTCCGCGGACATATGTCCATCCGCATGTCTCCAAGTGTACATCTGTCACTGTTGCAAAAAGTCCCATTGGTCAGTAAGCACTCGTGCATGACCATGACGATCCTAAATGGAGCCTGATGGTTTTCCCATCCCACGATCCCCACTTTTAAATAATGCATCAATCACCACTTCTTTCTTTGCGCAAATTTGCGTCAAATTATTCCTATATGAGTTGTGTTTTATGACCACCAGATGCTACATTTGACTGTTTAAATAACTAACTAATACTCCGTCTCTATTTTAAAATGATTGTCCAATTTAAAATTTCACTTTTAGTACAATTTAAACGAAAAATAAAAATTTAAATTGGACAATCATTTTGAAAATGAGGGAATATAATTTATGCCTTATAAATTAGATTGAAAGGTTATATTATCTACTATGTCTTAAAAAGAAAAAGAAAAAAGGTCACAATGAATTTTGCACAATATTGACTATTTTTTGAGACAGATAGAATAAAACTGATTTTATTTTTATGTTTATCATTTCCATGTCTATTATTTTGATAAAAATAGAAACGGTAAATTAATATGGTAGCTCATGGACAAAAATGCAACGTAACGTAAAAAAGCCTACGAATTCCATTTATTATATTTTAGCTTAAAAGATTAATTTTTTACTTTATTTCATTTTATTTTTTTGTATCTTCGTTGTTCGTGTGAATTGAAATTTTTACCGGACAAATCATGTCTTCATAGTTACTTTTTATTTGAGACAAACAAATACTGGAGACAACAATGTGACACGATCCATCCGTTTTTTGTCTAGTTTTTAGTTGTTTACTATTTGTGGAGTGAAAAGTAGAATAGTACATTAATCTAAACCACTCAAAGATATGGGTTTTGTAGTGTCGTTTCTTTGTGGAAGCCTAATGGACAATTAATTAACATCAGGGAGAGAGACCTGGCCAAACCGGTTTTGCTTGGTCTCTCTAATATAAGTATTATCCATATTCGTCATTTATGATGGCTTAACCTCATCTCCAACTTCCTTAGTTTCGAAATGTTTATCCACCTTTTCTATTATTTTTAGTTCAATAAATTAAATAATTGTTTTAGGATATAAGAAATACTGGTTTGTACTGAATATTGTTTTCTCATGTCGTTTGGAGTAGTTTTCATGTTGATTAGGAACTGGGGACCGCCTTTGTTTAATTTATTCAAACTTAATTTAAGTTAACACTGTATGATCTTCTTCCTTTAATTTGCTCGACAAATTTTTAGAAGTCCTATGATTGGTGGATTCAATTTGCTCTAATCCTTCTAATTAAGATGGAGTACACATTTTCGATTCATTTATTTCAATAGACGTTTCATTTTATACTCCTTCTGTCCTTAAATTATTATCCAATTTAGAATTTTATTTGATACAATTTGAACTAAAAATGAAAATATGAACGGAAGACTACAACATAATAGAGTCTAAAACAAACCGATGATGTTAGATGCTTAGATCTATATAACTCAGCGTGAACGGAGGTTATGACCTACATATAGAGACTCGAACTTCTGCGATTGAACTGCAAAATAGACAAATTCGCCTCAGGGTTATTCAAGATGAAAAACTCTATTTGTTTGGACGTCTACTTATTTTATATTTTTAATTCAATTTAACTATTAAAAACCAAACTCAATGTCAAATAAATAACCGTCTAAACAACTTTTCAATTTACGTTTTGAAGCTTAACTTAAACTATATTTTAGTATAGTATTTAGTATAATGATCATTTATAAAATTAAAATAATTCAGTAACTAAACTGAATAATTTACAATAGTTTAGTGACCATGGCACAACGCCAGCGGTGGTGGGTGATACGTCAATGGTCAATAAACTATTGTAAAGTCTTTAATTTGATCATGAACTATTTCAATTTCATAATGGCCATTATACTAAAATACCATCCAAACAACTTTTTCATCTTCCATTACGTTTTCCATATAAATCATTTTTCATATTTAAGTTGAAAATGCAAACGAAACTTACGTCCAAACATACACTAAATGGTACAATTAGTAATTCCATTACCTCATGCAATTAGAATTAAAAGATACTCCATATGTTTCGAAATTATTATTTAGTTTGGATTTTTATTTTTAGTTTCAATTGTACCAAAAATAAAACTTTTAAATTGGGCAATAATTTTGAAACAAAAGCAATATAAATCTCGAAAGAAATTGTAATGTTTACCTGAAAGGTATTTCCAATATAAGATAATCAAGATATAGTACATACGTTCTTTGTCCTAATCTCGTTATAAGATAGCAGTGGCCGGTAAAGCCCAATTCAGTTCTGGTGTAGGAGTAAACTCATAGCTGAAGTCATGAAGTGAGAATTAATAAAGTGAGAAAGAGATGTCTAATATAAGTTAAAATTTTAGGGTAGAAAGGAATTAAGTGGGGACTAATAACTTGACTCTTGTAATTGGACTCGGTCTTACAAAAAAGTTCATCGATGATTTGAACTCGGTGATTATGTAATCACGAGATTTATAAATTTTTCAAATAATAGAATAATAATTTAGTCAAACGATATTTATTATTATTATTTTTTTAGAGTATGTCAATTTTTCCTACCCAACCGCTCTAAACATAATCCGGGCATTGTGTATTTACATTTTGCTAAAAAAAATAAAATATAAGAAAAAAAGACTCTAACGATTGTTTTTCCCTTCATGAATTATTGCCATTATTAGCTTTGTCTATATTACTTGCATAGTATTAAATTTGACCATTCACAATCTCTGCCATTTTTTTTTGAAAAAAAAAGATTCTTATTAATTTAAACTTGTTGGGAATCGCCCAGCTGCGTTTGAAGTCATCTTCTTTGCCAGTGTCAAACTTGATAACGCTAGCTAGATTCTCTAGTGGAAGAAGATGATTAATGGGACTCACAATTTCACAAATGAACAGCAGGCAGCTGAAATTTGCAAACTAATTAAAGAATTTCCGGTAATAAGCAGAAAAGGTCACTTGTGCAGTAAAAACCGACCAAATTCGTGAGTGGATCTTTATTTTAAACTTTAATCTCCACGATTCCAAATATTGGTAGAGTTCAAGAAAGTAATTGAAGTCCCTTTCTACACCTTATGCTAAAATTGTCCAAAGTAGTCATCTTGAAAAGACAGAACCTCGATCAAATATTATATTACTCCCTCTTCCAAAAAAAAAGTGTCATATTGATGCAAGACTATAGATAACAATAGATGAGACTCCTATTTTAAAACGAAATAATTAAGAATATATACTCTTCTAAATAATATGACATTGTAGAATTTAGTATGACCAAAGTAGTTTTTAAGTAAATGATCATAATGAATTCGTGAATCATAAAAACTGCAAACTGAAATTAATTCACGATGATGAACTTAATCAAATGAATAATTATCTGATTCCTAATTTAATTATCAACATATCTTATCCGCGAATAATATCTGTTGGAAAAAGGAAGGGTACGGCTTGGTTCGAGTATATCTTTTCTAATTTCTCCCATCAAAAGTCAGTTTCTTCTTCTCGAAGGAGTCAAAGTATTTGGTGTGTGAATGGAAGAGAATTGGGAAAGAAATCATATACGTACTGTACTTGGTTATATAACATTAACTAACTAATCCAGATAAATAAATGAATATATCAGATCATTTGGTAACGAAGGAAATCGCTTCGAAGAACCCAAAACCCCAAGAACAAGTCCAACATGATGTACAGTCAAAATAGATTAAAAAAAATTAATTTGTTGAAAAACCAATAAACAAGCACTCTCCCGATTGGGGGAAAAAATACGGCAGCTGGGAGACAATTTATGAAGAGTTTTATTAATTACTAAAATTATTTCGTACGTTGTACGGGATGTGTTACATATATTGCGTAAAAAAATTATAAAATTATAATCACAAGTAAGCTGACGTCATCGTCGTAGTATGATAAAGTTTGTGTCGGGTTTTGTTCTATAATAATCTTCCGTGTTTTGCTGTGTAAATTATATTCATTATTTTTTATATTTCATATTCAATATAGTATACATTTTGAAAGGTAAACTATAAGTATGACTCATTTGTAGTAAAATTTTAGAAGTAATAGTCAATAAAATTGATAATAACTTAGTAGTATAATTTCATAAATTTTTACAAATAAATTTAGTAAACTCAAAATAAAAGTTATAGTGAATTTAAAAGGAAAAAAGAAATGTAAATATATATATAGTATTTTATATAACATCTATTCAGTAAAACATTTTTTGCTAGATTTCCCTGAAAATACTACATTTTATACATAATTGATGGCTTTTTATCCACTGAAATAAATTTTATGATTTTTTTAAAAATTCCACCACAATAAACTTTGTTTGAAAATAGTTAAAAATCATTCTAAGCAACCAATAAAAAAAAATAATTAGCAACGGAAAAGATGGGGTTACCAGTATTAATTAAGTAGATTATATGAAATGTATGGGTGAAACGCATGGGTGGAAAATAAACTGAACTAACCGATTTAGAAAAAATTTTAACACTATAACGAAAGGGGATCTCTGACGTTGACCCATACAAAAAAAAATACTCAAAATTTGACATTTGACAAAGAAGGCTCTTTTTTTTTTCTTTTTTTAGTTAAGCCTGGCAGGGATGAAACCCGATATATTAAATTTTGAGAACGGAGAAGATAGTAGTACATAATTATACGAATCATCGTATCCTAAGGTATAGAAAGTCTTGCTGATCTAGAACAAGAAGACCTTTTAGTGTAGAAGGAAGGTCTCTAAAGCTATGAAAATGAATCGATTGCCCTGATGAAGCCATATTAGAGAGATGATCAGCAGCAACCTTTGCTTCATGTTAGACATGGATAATTGCATTGTTGAGGCTGAGGAGCAATTAGTTGTTACGAGCTTTCCATATTTCCCAACTAGTGAAAATTGGGATTGCCATTGACAACACTTGTCTTCCTTATTTGAAGCTCCCAGAAGAATACCAACACTGGATCATATGCCATAGGGTAGCGGTCGGCGGCAGTGAGATTTCAAAAAATTGCGCAAAGAAGGTCCAGACCGACTTGGCGATTGTGCAATCCAGGAAGATGTGATTAAGGGTTTCAGCTACATTCCTGCACAAAGGGCAGATGGAGGGATTAGCATAGATCCACTATATCAGAA